TTTCACACATCTGAAACAAAGTAAGTAAACTAAACTCCCAATTAAAAGAAACTTTACAATAAATCTTCTAAAGCTACTAAAACGCGACTAGCAGCTTTGCTGAATCTATGCTATACGGCGTATTATTATTACAAAACGGCAATCGAAAATCATCATGAAAATTACATTACCGACAATAACAACATTAGATTTAGTCGGAAAAATTAACGAATTAACGAAGAAACTGAAGGGAGAAGGAGAAGGGATGGAGAACTGAAGGGAGAAAATAACTCTACTTTATTCCCATCTTCATCCCAACTTATTTTTCTTGTTTAGTTTCTGATACAGAGACCGTGATTTATGACCAAGCCAATGATTTTTAGTATAAATGAAATGCAGGCAACTCGTCGTTGTCCGTCACAAGCCCGGAGGAGAACAGAGGATGGGTAGGGGCTGTAGCGAAATCAATGTAAAACTTAGTCTCTTGTCCTAATGGCACTGCCGTTATCTAACATTATACCGGCAATGTCGTCGCCCGAGTTACTCTGGGAATACGGAACTCAAGTTGTTAAGAAACTGAAGAAAACTGTGAACAATCGGTTATCACAGCTTGCTTCAATACTGTAAAAAACAAAATTAAAATAAATCGACTGGCACTATTCGAAAGCAAAACTGGCTGATCTTACCTTTCAGACTTTTCCGACGAAGGCGAATCCCTACGAGCAAAACCAGCCCGTTCGGTTTTCATGACCATGCGCGCCGAATCGGCTTCACGGTTAACGAAGTCCGAATCAACACAACTAACCTTAGAACTGTTATATTCACTACCGTAAACAGCACGTCTATATGCAAAAAAGTGAAAAAAGTATTATGCAGCACGTGACAACATTATATTTACCGTCGATCAGGGGCTATCGGACCACTTCGTCCACCTGACTGTGCCAACGGCTTTTCGTATGCATCGTCGCTAACACCGCTAAATTTGAAGTCAACGGTGTATGGATGCGCGTTCGGCATGCTAACGACCGGGGTCGAAGCACCTTCGCTGCCGGTGCCACCTCCATAGGGCTGACGCTGTTGGTAAACGCCGAACAGGGGCTGGATCTTGCCACTAGCACTGACAACAGCACGAGCATCAGACCTTCTCTGAAAACGTGGTGGTATAGAGGGCTTTCTTCTCATTCCAAGCTTAAAAATTTGATACTTTCAACATAACCCTTTCTAGCTCCCATTTTCATATTCCAATTAGTAAAACGAGCAAACATCACAAATGAAAACCGTACTTACCGCAAACGACATAATACAAACAACAAAACTATAACCAAACCTTTGAATAGCCGTCTACGCTATTTGGACGATCAATCTCAGACTCGTATCCGTCACCATCAGAGACCCCCGCATCAGCCATAGTTGCCGCAGAGTAGTAACGATCGTTCACGACACCGGCAGATGGGCCAAGATCAGCTGTTCCGCTGCTCGACAACGAAGCCTGCCAAATTACACTAAATGTTTGCGCAACGCGGGTTAAAGCTGGCTTTCTCACTTGCTGGGCTAAGCGACGACGCTGCCAAGAACGTTCAATGGCAGCATTCCTGGCGTGCAGCTGTTGTTGCTGTCGAAACATCTCTTCTTCCTCTTCCAGTTCAATGTAACGCAAATCGGATGGACGGGACATATGCATCGGTGGAGGTGGAGGATAATGCTACAAGTTTCACACCATTTGCATATATCAACAGTGGATATTTAAGAGAATGTTACTTAATGTAACTCACGCTGTTTAATTACATAACTTTACTGGCATATACTGCTGCTTAGTTAAAAGCCGACGCAAAAATGTCCATACGTCTGCATCCTACAACACAATGAAAAAACCGATGAACGGAAGACTTACAACAGATTTAAAATGAAGGAATTTTTCCAGTTATACGGTTTCTATACTAACGACGAACCTGGTTTGCGGTCAAAGGTTCCGCATACGAGACTTCATCGACTTTTACCCCTCTCTTCAGGTACCTTATGGCTAGTTTCCTAAACTACCGGAGGACGAAAAGCGATATGACAACTATTGACAAGTCGCAACTGCCTTTTCTGAATACTTAATAATAAACCGGCCTAAACAAATTTATTAAAAACCGCAGCCTACACTAAAAAATCTTTCACAACTGACTAGCATTACAATATACCATTCGTTGGTCGAAAAAGGGAAAAGGAGTCAAATCAGAAACCTATTCGACAGCAGCGTTTGACGAAGTCCGGGGCAATTTTGCAAAAAAACTAAATCGGCGTAAATTCGAGCTCGATAATATGACTGCAGTTCACAACAACGTTACTGTCACAAATCCAGAGAGTATCAGAAGATTATTTTGAATACAAGGCATCGCCAGTGACTACACTTGCATATGCAACAATATTATGGACTGATTAAGCAGAAAATGGTACTAAGCGCAGTACTATACCAATATATTTACCTAGATGATAGACACAGAAAGGACCGACGTTCCATTTCGTACCTCACAGGCGTAGTTCAAATACCGGTGGCATTTCGTAGTAGGTCATATATTATTTTCTATTTTATAACCCGTTTAATTTGTTGCACATGAAAGGTACGGGTCAGTAAAATTTACAAGCTACAACCACAGTGAACCAAAATTATGAAACCATCACGAAAATAAAACATCTAGAATTTACCAAGAGCAACATGATTCAGAAGACAGTAACTGTGTATGAAGAAACTCGCACCTAGGAATGAAACGTGCGGGGATAAGGACTTCGGTGGTCAAAAGAAATAAACCATGTCCATCCTAGCAGTGCTCATGGAGTACCACTGCCAAAAGCACTTATATCAGTGTCTATCTTTTCACATCTCGGTGCTCTAATACCAATTTTTGACACTGCTACTTTGTCTTCTTTGTCTATAAAATCAGGATAATGATTATTCTGAACCATTCAATAAACCTGACATCAAGTCCAGAAATGATACGTACAAACCGCGCTTCCATGCATCACGATCAAAAGTGAAACTGCTCTATCATATTATTTGTTGCTGTATGAAATTTTGAGACATAAACCGCTACAACGATTACAGCTTACGTATATTTAGGACATACAAACTCAAGTTAACGTGTAGACAACGAGACTCGCGGCAACACAAAACATTATAACCACTGACGAGCGCATAACGACTTCGACGGCGATGGGCTGTTTTAATACAAGCAACGGCTCGAGTCTGTAATTTACCATAGAAACAACTGATATTTTTTTCAAGTAGGCGCCCATGTAAAAGTTGCTCCTTCAGCAATGTAGGACTCCACATGAGTAAACCAGCTAATTCACTCACCTATGAACGAACATCTCACGAGTTGCGGATGAAATCTATTAATCCACGCTTTACACGTTATCATTAGACGATACAAATGCTAGTCCAAATTGCGCTGATGTTCCTGTACATACGACGCATGGAGCAGAGCTGAACCGCTCAGCCATTTTATTTGCTTGCAACCGGTAAGAAACTCATCGCGCCTTCTGAATTTCTTGATTGTGACATTTTTCCATAAACAACAGATTTTCAAACTGCTGCCGTGATTCATATGCACTTTCAGCCAAGTCGGCACATGATTTCGTTCAAGGACTTAATTGCATCAGTCACGACATACTGCTTTGACATAACATGCGCCTGCACTCACCCTGTAAAACTGTCGCACACCACTAGAATGCAGTTGCACTGTATATTCTTGGTGGACCCCTATTTCGATTGACACTTGTTCCGTTCGGTACCCAACTGGGTTTGACTGGAGTGGTGTTCGAGTTCGATTCCCCGGCGGACAATCTGTCTTTACCAAGAATTCCATTAAGCAAAGAAATTAAAAGCTTTGCTTCACACCGGGGTTACTCGGTCGGCAGAGCTCCGGAGTCAGAACCGAAAGGACCCGGATTCTAACCCCGGTCTAGGTAGCCTTTCTTCCTTCCGAGGTTAATAAACGAGCACTGCCTGATAAATGAGTGAAAAGGTAACAGCAGAATACAAATTACGCTTGTCACATAGCTGTTATCGATTCTACCTTTGAAAATAAACCACTCCTGGCTGATGACATGGAAATGGAGATCAGCGGTCCAACCATTAACTTCATAAAAACAAGACTGCTACACTAGTCTCACCATGGAAGCGTATGGATGACCGACATTTCAACGGTTAAAAACCTTCATTCAATACATTTATGAGACCTGGCTCTCTTCCTAACGGCCCATACGACCCATCGCCTGCACTACCCCTTGACTTCGTTCTTCATTCC